GAATAGAATAGAATAGAATAGAATAGAATAGAATAGAATAGAATAGAATAGAATAGAATAGAATATTAGAATACGAATAGAATAGAATTAGAATATTAGAATACGAATAGAATAGAAATAGAATAGAATTAGAATAGAATAGAATAGAATATTAGAATATTATTAGAATATTAGAATAGGAATAAATAGAATAGGAATAGGATAGGAATAAGAATAGAATAGAACAGAAATAAAATAAAAATAGAATATTAGAACAGGAATAAGAATATTAGAATAGCATTGTATAGCATAACATAGCATAAAATAATAACTTTATTGTCACTTTGAATGTACGCTAATCGGCATACATTAAAATGAAATTTCATTGCGTACAGCTCTCAAAGGGGTCACCACCTCCAATATACACTACACTACCCCCCCTTGTACCTCTTTGCTGGAGAAGTGCACCACCAGCTTGCTTGAAAGCTTTTGGTATCATTTGCTAATGGGATCAGGGACCCTCCTGCGATTGGAGGTGGGTAGAATTGGCCAGCAGACAATCTTAAACTGTAACAACCACAGGAGAGGCCTGTAGGATAACAAGGCAAAACCAACTGGTGCTATTGAGCACACTTACAACTAGAATCTGCCTTTGCTGCAGTCCAAACATACTCATAATTTGTGGTATGGTTTACAGGTAACTCTTGACTTTATAACCATTTGTTTAGTGACCATTTGAAGTTGCAACGGGACTGGAAAAAGTGACTTATGACCGTTTTTCACACTCACGACCACTGCAGCATCTCCTTGGTCACGTGATCAGAATTCAGCCGCTTGGCAACCTGCATCTATTTATGACAGTTGCAGTGTCCCGGGGTTGTGTGATCCTCTTTTGCGACCTTCTGACAATAGGGAAGCCAGATCCACTCAACAACTGCAGTGATTCACAACCGTGGCAAGAGAGGTCATAAAATTGAGCAAACGTCACTTAACAATGGTCTTCCTTAGCAATGAGCATTTGGGGGTCAATTGTGGCCGTAATCGAGGACCACCTGTATAACTTGAGACTGAAGGTGCATTTATGTGATGACCTGAGGCGTGGCACAAAAGCAACAAAGTCACAAAAGTAGGTAAACTCCCTTTAATACCTCCAACTTGGCCCCCAATGTCCAGTTATCATCGGCTGGAGAAAAAACTCTCCCAAGAACAGTTTTTAAAGGGAAGAAATTCAGTCCGAATACAAAGTACATAGAAATTATAAATAAAAACCAGCACAAACCACGCTGCAGCAATTAACAAGACAGGGCAGGATAAGGAATTGCAGACTTTAAAAGATAACGAAACACACACAGCTGGGAGGATGCTGGAACCCAGATAAGACTTGACAAACCAAGATAATTCATGCTTTGCTTCCAGCAAGGTGCTGTGCGGAAATGCCCTTTTAAAATCCTGTTTTCCCAGCTGCAGCTAATGAAGGGAATCAGGGCCTTTCTCCCTCCCGTAAGCCACATTGCTCCCTTCTCCGTTCCTCCCTGCGTGCCCAAGGTTTTGGCCCTGGGTTTTCCTCTGAAGGCCCAGCTGGACTGTGCCCTTCCCCAGTTTCTTCCACAGCCACCGGAGCCACATTCCCACTCCCTGTCAGCTGCTCAACCTCCTCCTCAGAATCAGATTCCAACAGGGGCATGACAGTTTATGCGCATTACAATTTCTCCATGAATGGAAAACTCAAAGCATAGTGTTTTTCTGGTCTGTAGAGAAAAATCAGGGGAAGGTGGGGGGGGGGGGGTTGGGGGGGGGAGAATTTCAAAATGGCTTTCTTCACTTTTCCAGAGGGTGGTGTGGCCCGCCCACTCTACCACCCAGAGGCCAGGCACGGGCTGGGCCTAAAATATGAGAACCGGCTCTTCTTAGCAACTGAGTTTTTAAGAGGTTCTTGAAAAACCTTTGAAGAAAAGGATTTCTGGGAGTGGGGGGAGAGATTTCTCTTCAGGCAAACTGTAATTGGTACCTTTTAAAAATCAATTTAGTTTACCAAATGTTAAGCTTTTCTTCAGGCACATAGAAGGAGGGCTGTAACCTTTTCGGTGATGAATCATACTCCCTATTGGAGTAGGTGGAGACGGAGCCAGAAATGCAAAGAACTATTCCCTGCTACTTTTCTTGTGAAAAAATGCAGTTTGTTCCTTCCTTAATTCATCCTTTTGCCAAATACACACTGTGCATGTGTTTACAGGTGGATAAAAAATCCCCTCCATTTTGTCACAGAAAGAAACACGGTTTTAATTTCCTTGGTTCATTCTTTCTGGTTTTTCTCATTCCATTCCTTTCTTCCCCTTTTAGTATCGGTTCTGCTGGATGCCTCATTTTAAAACCAAATCTTTCTTTCTTTGTTTTTTTTTTTTTTTTTGCTGTATAAAAAGACCAGTTTTAGAATTCATAAAGTTGTTCTTAGCTGGAAATGTCTTAAAGAGACCCCCAGAAATGATTGTTGGGGGCGGCGAGTAAAAGGAACCATTTAAGATAGTCGACCACTGATTCTGTTGTGTAAAGTAACTAGGTTGATAACTTTGGGGGAAGCTGGATGAAATGATGAATTCAGAAAGCTTTTTTCGTTTTCGTAAGTTTTGTTTCTGGAATGAGAATCTTTTTTTAAATGAGGGAGTGGGGAGCACAGGACTCCCGGTGTGGAGTGTTTAAAAAGTCTGCAATCTGGATCATGTCCTCCCTAATCTTTGAGGCTGTAGGTTGGGGGACACTCAGCAAATGTTCTTGATATGTTACTCCATTGGCCTCTTCAGATTCTCCAGCTAAGTAGAATGGTAGGACGTAATAAACCAAATAAATAACCTGAAAATCCATAACCAAGGCCCTTAATTCTTATGGACTGGTTGCCTAGGTAGCCAAAACTGACATGAAGGAAATGATGTGTGGTAGCTACCCAGCAAGCAGAGAGTGCAATTTAACCAGTGGGAGTCTCCTTCACAATCATTAGTTCCGAATGTAAGTGTTCGTCACTAATATGCATATGAGTACTGAGTGTGGGCAACCTTTAGTTCCTAATGTAAGTATTGCCTACCTACTATGTATATATTTGATTAATGACTGTGAACAATGATTCTTTTTGAAAAAAAAGGGTTCTGAGATATGTTGAATTCCCTATTGAGGAGTTGGGTTGGGTTGGGTTTTTTGGTACCTTCAAGCCTATCTTGACTCCTGGGGACTTCCTGGAGAAGGCCCTGAGTTTCCGTGGCAAGATTTTTGGAAGGAGTTTGCCCTTAACCACCTCCTTCCTGGGTGTGAGGGAAAAGGACTAGCCCAAGGTCACCCAGAAGGCTGTGTCTAAAGCAAGACTAGAACTCAAGTCTCCCAGTTTTGGATCTAGGATATTTAACAACTCTACCAATCTGTTTTCCCTATGTCTATATGTAATAAATATATACAGACCTTTCCTGCCCCAGTTGTTAAATGAATCACTGCAGTTGTTAAGTTACTAACACAGTTGTTAAGTGAATTTGGCTTCCCCATTGACCTTGCTTGTCAGAAAGTCGCAAAAGATCATCACATGACCACATTGCAACCATCATAAATACATGCCAGTGGCCAAGGGTCTGTATTTTGATCATGGGGAAGCTGTAACGGTCATATGTGTGAGAAATGGTCATGTCATTTTTCAAGTTCTGTTATAATTTTGAACAATCACTAAATGAGCTGTTGTATACAACATAAGAATAGAATAGAATAGAATAGAATAGAACAGAACAGAACAGAACAGAACAGAACAGAACAGAACAGAACAGAATAGAATAGAATAGAATAGAATAGAATAGAATAGAATAGAATAGAATAGAATAGAATAGAATAGAACAGAACAGAACAGAATAGAATACTTTATTAGCCAAGTGTGATTGGACACATAAGGAATTTGTGTTGGTGTAAATACTCTCAGTGTACATAAAGAAAAGGTACATTCATTTAGAATCAAGAATCATAACGTACAACACTTAATGATAGTCATAGGGTACAATCAACAATCAAATCATACTTGGAAACAGTCAATATAAATCGTAAGGATACAAGCGGACAGTTACAGTCCTACAATCACAAGTGGGAGAGGATGGGTGATAAGGAGTGATGAGAAGATTAAAAGTAATAGTAGTGCACACTACTGTAAATCAGTGAGGCTACACTTTTCCAGTTTACATGACCCTAAAGAACCTTGGAAGATGTCTTTTGTTATCTAAATCTGCCTACAGTTCCTTAAAAGCATTTGATCTGTGAATCCAAGCCCTGGTCCATCACATCATTAGAGGCATCATGAGAGTTTCTGGGTATCTTAGGTACCTAATATTATTTGAGTGACAAATGTCCTCACCTGTCCCATTTCTCACCCCTTCAGGCTCCTTGAGGCTCAGCTCCAGGAACAGAGAAGGGAATATGAAGAAGAAATAGAAGTCCTAAAGGACCAGATGGAGACATTGAAGGAAGCCATGGAGAAACAACACGAAGTCTTCCTCCAGACGCTTCAGCTGTCCCCAGAAGCCCAAGTGGAGTTTGGCATCCAGCAGGAAATCTCGCGGCTGTCCAGCGAAAACCTGGTATGGAGAAAAAGCAAAACCGCAGGGTTGTGTCTACCAAGGGTGATGAGTGCCTTGTTTGAAAGATTGGTGCCCAACTCTTCAGTCAAAAAAATAACTCTAGGGTGGCCTTTACTGATTAGCCCGACCTGCTCATAGATGTAGAGCTTGTAGCTGTATGAGAAGTTGCTCTTGGAGAAGAGCGACTAAGATGACTAAGGGCCTGGAGACTAAATGGCTCAATGGTTACAACGGTGGCTCAGTGGCTAAGACACTGAGCTTGCCGATCAGAAAGGTCGGCAGTTTGGTGGTTCGTATCCCTAGCACTGCGTAATGGAGTGAGCTCCCATTACTTGTCCCAGCTTCTGCCAACCTAGCAGTTCGAAAGCATGTAAAAAATGCAAGTAGAAAACTAGGGACCACTTCGGTGGGAAGGTAACAGCGTTGCGTGCGCCTTCGGCATTTAGTCATGCCAGCCACATGACCACAGAGACACCTTTGGACAGCACTGGCTCTTCGGCTTTGTAACGGAGATGAGCACTGCCCCCTAGAGCCGGAAATGACTAGCGTGTATGTACGAGAGGAACCTTTACCTTAACCTAATCTAGAGAAAAGAAGGACTCTAGAGGTGACATAATAGCAGTATTCCAGTATTTGAGTCAACCCATTTTCCAAAGTACCAGAAGGTAAGACAAGAAACAGTGGGTGGAAACCAACCAAGGAGAAAAGCAACCTAGAACTGAAGAGAAACTTCCAAACAGTGTGGACAATTAACCAGTGGAACGATTTGCCTCCAGAAGTTGTGGTGCTCCATCACTGGAGACTTTTAAGAAGAGATTGGACAGCCACTTGTCTGAAATGGCATAGGGTCTCCTGCTTGAGCAAGGGGTTAGACTAGAAGACCTCCAAGGTCCCTTCCGGCTGTATTCTTCTGCATTCTGTATGTGCGGTCTAAAAGATGCAATGTGCAAAATGACAGTTGGGTGGGAGGAATAAATACAAATGCAAAATCAGGAGATACAGCAGTTCACATAGAAAAGGAAAGAAAGCTGATCATCTCGTGGCAGAACTTCTGGCTTTCTGGAACTGCTGGACTCTCTGCCAGTAAGAAATCTCCTCTGCTTCTCGGAACTTCTTGCTATGTTTTGTTCCGGGGGGCCCCTTCTTGGTTTCAGTTCACTTTGGGGTGGAGGAGTCTTTTCAATACTGAAACACCTTTTCATTCCTTCCAGGTGTGTAAATTAAGTGCATTGTTTATTATTTTATCACCTCCCGATGTCCTAACTGTAGGGTTAGTTTTGAATCCATTTTTATTGCTTAACAGTCCGTAGATTTTGTTTTGTTTTCTTTTCCTCCTTCGAATCACTGTTGACTCCTGGCAACTGCCTGGACAAGTCCCTGCAGTTCTCTTGGTGAGATTTCAGAAGTAGTTTGCCCTTGTCTACTTCACAGAGCTGAGAGAGAAAGAGAAGTGATTGGCCCAAGGTCACTCAGCTGGCTTGGTGCCCCAGGCAGGATTAGAAATCACAGCCTCCCGGTTTCTAGTCTGGCACCTTTTAACCATTGCACCAAACTGGCTTTCCTTTGTTATGGTTATACAGATTTATGGTGCATTATCCTCACACAGAATAGAACAAATAGACGATATATAGAAGGTAGGGGAGGTAGTTGACCCAACCAATATTCTTTATTGTCCCATCTAGCTTTCCTTAGAACATTTTTCCAGAGGTTTGGGCAGAAGACTTTCCTACCACCTACAGCAGGGGTATCAAATTCAAGGGCAGCAGGCCAGATCTGGCCTGCGGGGGTCCTTAAATCTGGCCCGCCAGGCCAGCCTGGAAATAGCAAAGGACTGGCCCGCGGTGCCTCTGCTAGCGAAAACGGGCAGGGTCCTGCAGGCCATCCAAGCCACATGCAGCCCCCTGTGCTCTGTTTTGGCCGTGGTAGCAGAGGTGGTATTCAGCAGGTTCTGACCAGTTCTGGAGAACCGGAAGTGGAAATTTTGAGTCATTCGGAGAACCGGCAAATATCACCTCTGACTGGCCCCACCCCCATCTATTCTCTGCCTCCCATTGAATCCCAGCTGATTGGCTGAGTCTTCTTTTGTTGCCCTGCACAGGAGAATGGAGCTGGAAATCAGGTTAGTGGGGTGGGAAGGGAATGGGGATTTTGCAGTAACCTTCCCCTGCCACGCCCACCAAGCCAAACCATGCCCACCAAGCCATGCCAAGCCCACCAAACTGGTAGTAATTTTTTTTGAATCCCATCACTGCGGCAAATGCTGCAGGAGGCTGTCCAGGCCGAAAACGGGGCACAGGGGACTGCACGTGGCCTCCCCCCTTCCCCATTTTGGTCAGCAGAGTGCTTCAGGAGGCATCCATCCCATCTTCCCACCCCCCACCCAGGCCGGCCCTCAGAGAACTACAATGCTGATCCGGCCCTCGGAAGAAATCCTATTTGACACCCCTAACCTACAGTTTTTAACCGACAGTGCCCAGTAGCCAGTTGTAAAGCTTAGGCTGTACCACTAAGCTATGCCTTCCCTTCAGTGGTGCTCCTGGAAAAATGTTGCCCAGTACAGTGAGATTTTAACCTGAAATTACCTTTAGGAGGAATGGAACCGTTCGCTCTGTTTTCAGATCGAGTCAGTTTACCATTGTTCATTTGCAAACTGTGATGACCCAAGGTGGGATACAAAATAAACAAAGTCACAAAAACAGGTGAAGCCCCTTTTATTCCTTCAACTTGGCTTCAAAGCTCCAAACATCCTTGACTGGAGACAAAAAACTCCCCCACAAACAGTTAGAAAAGGAGGAAATGCCATTTAAACTAAAAATGCCTATAAATTATAACTAGGAAAAACAACACAAACCACACTGAAGCAATTAAGGGAACCAGGCAAGATAAGGACTTGAAGACGTCCACAGATATCGGAATACACACTGGGAAGGACACCAAACTCAGATAGGAACAGACAGACTAGAGATATTTTCATGCTTTGTTTCTAGCACTAGCCCATGCGCATGTCCATCCTTTTAAACAGTCCTCACAGCTGCAGCCCATGAAGAGGATCAAAGGCCCTTTCCTCCCCTGTAGACCACACCATTCATGTTTCTCCCTTATCCTCTTCTCCCTGTGTGCCCTAGGATGGAGAAGGGATCGGCCTGGGTCTTCCTCTGACTGCCCAGCCGGCCTCTGCCCTTCCCCAGCTTCCCTCAGAGTCAGACTCCAACAGGGGCATGACACAAACCCTTGTTGATCCATTTCTCTAAAAGCAACAGCAATCACAAATATCAAACTTAAAGCATGTATGTTAATACGAATATTTTATGGGGATTTCTTTTTTAAGCCAAGACTCGGATTACAAAATTCAGAGAAGTTCATGCACTAAATGATGTTTTATATTTGGATCCAGGTAATATTAGCCTGAGAAGTTTGCTCAGGTCAGTCTATTTTTAGATAATAAAATGGACAAAAATAAAGTTTTCCCATGGGAATATGTTTAATCTTCCTTCTGGGTAGAAAGGCATAGTACAGCAGCAGCAGCAGCAGTACTGTCATGGTTGAGTAATAACCTGGTAAGGCAGGGGTCCCCAACCACCGGTCCCCAGACCGGTACCGGTCCGTGGATCATTTTTTTACCGGGCCGCAAAGCTTGGGCGCCACCATCTTGTTTCAACGGCGCTTCCGGGTTTTCGGTTGGAAAGTGCTTCCGGGTTTTCGGTTGGAAAGTGCTTCCAGGTTTTCGGTTGGAAAGCGGCGTTTGGGTGCTCGCGCCTTAGTTTCGTCGAAGAGGGGGAGCGGCTTCGAACGAAGAGCCATCCCGATGGCGGTGGAGTCTCGCGTTACTCAGGTACCGGTCCGTGGAAGAATAAATAATCATGAAACCGGTCCCTGGTTCAAAAAAGGTTGGGGGCCACTGTGGTAAGGAACAATTTTGGATGGATTTTCAGGAGCTTCGCCTGCATTCAAGGTGTATTCCCTACCAAATACTGTTCAGCAGCAGTACAAGTAAGTGCTCAACTTACAGTCACAATTGGGAGCAAAATTTCTGTTCCTAAGCAAGGCAGTTGCTGTCAGTTGCCCCCAGTTTCACAGTCTTTTTCTTTTGCTGAACTATCCCCATTTTCTTCGCCGAACCAAAGTTTTCAGTAAAATTATAGGTACGTTAAATAGGAGCCCGAAGAGGGCGTTTCGAAAAGCAATGTGACAATTTGCTCTTTAGAATATTTCAGGCTCGCCATAGCAACCTGACAAAATTACTTTCCTCATAATGTATAATTGATTGGCTTTGGTAGAGATTGAAATAAACCCTGAAAAAGAGAGAAAAAAATGCCAAGTTGATCAAAGGCTCTCAGTTCGGCTGAGTCTGATGAGAAGATAACAATCACCATAATCACAAAATACGAGGACCTGCAAATAAAAGTAGCACAACTGTGGCAAGGAACAAAAAGGGGACAAAGATAATACCAACAGCGATAGGTGCCTTGAGTGCAATCCCAAAGCATCTGGAGCACCAGCATTGACAAAGTCCCCATCAATCAATTGCAAAAGTCAGCTTTATTTGCAACAGCTTACAGACTTTAATATTATTAAGCCACAAATGAGATGTATATTCTCACAACAGTTCCACTAGGTTGGGTAAGCTGAATGCTGGTGATTAATCTCCTGTCATGAATAGACCGTGCTTGAGTAAAATAATCTCTTGATTCACAGCATCTTTCTCCTCAGTTTCCTGCAGCTTTTTTGATTATGGATGCAAATCCATCACTAACTACATATGGCTAGAAGGCTCGGGCCCAGGGGTGGGATTCTACCAGTTCGCACCTATTCGCTAGAACCGGTTGTTAACATTCTAAGCAGTTCGGAGAACTGGTTGTTAAGAAGAAATCACTGGCCTAATCCTGTAAGGAGGGCAGGAAGGAAACATTCGGGCAGTTAAACAAATATATGAACGCATCTGCAAATTTAGTCTGTTTTTCCTTTTGCTTCTTGCTGGTCTTGGCAAAATGCTCCCATTTGAGCTGTGGCCGAACTTGATCTGGGATGCCTTCCTGTTTTTCAGGACCTGAAAGAGATGTTGGAGAAACTGGAAAAGAATGAGAAGAAGCTGAAGAAACAGCTCAGGATTTATATGAAGAAAGTGCAAGAATATGAAGGTAACTTTCAATTTCCCCTTCTTCTGCCGCTGAAATTAATACTCTGTTCCCTACTGAAATAGTTTGGATGGATAAAAAGCTGACTTGCCTTTAAACCAAGAGAAGCAAAGGGTTCAGATCAAGCTTAGCAGCATTTAATGCATTTTGTATTTTTTGTTTCTATAAATTGTGTGAACAGTGTTGGTCCCAGGGTGCTTTACATTTTAAAATAAACATGACAGTATTTTCACATTGACATTATTAACTTTCTTACATTATTAATTAATACATATTATCAGCCTTAAATCATTCCATATTCTCATGTACTATTTTGTGTCAATCTCTACATCCTTAACATCTCTTCTTTTATCATGGATTCTATATTAATAGTGTCAGGATTCCAGCAATCGCTCTAATTAAATCATGATTCTCAAGCCAAACTTCAAAAAACTTCAAAGGATTCATTAGAGGCAACATACTGGCACTGCCCTGTATGAAGCCAACTCTGGCACACGTAATTTACAGTCCCCTGTGAGCCTGTTTCCCCCTCCCCCCACCCCCCAGTGTGTCATAAATCAGATTCTCCAATTGAGCACATTCACGGGCTGGGTGTCATCATTCACGTCCTCCAATTAAATATATTCACGGGCAAAAGCTCTGGTATTTTAGTTACAATCTTTTAAAGATAAGAGTTGGAATGTACTTTCGCTTTCAAACTGCTGCATTGCTCTTCCAGATTTTCTTCCTCTCCCCCACTTTTTATGGCAACTACTAAAACAGGCATAGGAATGTTTTATGAGTTGACCAATAGTCATATTTGCAATGTTCATCAAATTATATAGACACATCATTTCATGAGTTGCATGGTTCCAGATTACTTTACATTTTAGAATAAACATGACAATAATTTCATCTTGATACTGTTAGCTTTCTTACATGATTTGATATTCTTGCTCTGAGATGTGAATAAGGCTTGAGGGAAGACTTAAGTGCAGCTACTTTTCTTTCTTTCTTTCTTTTTTGTAAATTTTATTTGAGTTTTCACAAAAAGAAAAAAAATACAAATAAAACATCTTTTTTTAAAGTAGCGTAATCCCGGGTTACATTTCTTCGTACAGACACAAATTCAGGTTCATGCTCATTTTTATATTCTATTCCATATCTTATTACTATTTTACATTTTCTGCATAGCTTCTCCCCTCTTTTAATTTTCTCAATTTTATTTTAATTATCTCATTTCAATTCAAACCATTGTATTTATATTTTTTGTCTGTCCTGTTTCAATTTCATATTATCTTTTCTCATTAAACAAAATTTCTCCTGTAGTTACTGATTGGAGTATGACGCCTTTATATCTTTTCCCTAAAGTTGTAACATTCAATATAATACATAACTTCCATTCGGATTCTGCTTGGTACATTCTTAAAATACACACTGTATTCTTAAAAAAAGAAAATATATAAATGTATATAATTAAAACAACATTCCATTCCAATTCAATTCTATCATTAATATTAATATTCATTAAAGTCTTAACATCTTTAACATTACTTTTCAATTAAATATCATACTTCTATGGGAACAATTATAAGCTTTCCATAGTTAATTCCCCCCCTCTTCACTTATATTTTATAAAACATTAACTAATTAAAATGTTCCTGTTCCTTCCTAATTCCATTTTCTCATTTATTTTATTTCACTTATTTTATTCACAAACATTTCACTAAATTACACTAACTATTTTATCCCTCATTTTAATCATACATTGTTTCCAATTTTCTAAAGTTATTTCTATTACTAATATAACAATACAATCTTATGTACCTTTACAGAATCCCTTTTTCAGTTAGATTTTCACCCATTATCTCTAAATAGGTCCTGTTTCTCTATATCTTGCTCCGGTCCTTTGTAACTTCTTTTCCTTTCCTTCTTCCCTCTCTTCTTCTCTCTCCCCTTTTTACCCCCTTGTCTCTCTACCTCTATTTCTCTCTTCTGTATTCCCCTTTTCTGTTGCTTTCCAGTATTATACTTATTTTTCGAATTATTTTTCTTTTCTTTGGTTGTTTTTTTAAGTCTTAAATTCTCCATTCTCTTTCCCCCCTTTCCTTTTTCTTCCCCACATAAAATTGCTTGTTCATTAAAGATGGCTTCTTCTTTGTCCCAGTCTTCTTGTTTTGCAGACGTTTCTTGTTGTTTCTCATAGTTCCAAATCTCCATTTCTAAGAATTGAAAAACGAAGCCAAAAGAACCCTTCCCTTCTTGTGCATCTTCTTTGTACTTTTTAAGTTCCATTTTCAATTCATCCAGAAGTGGTGCCATTGTAAAAAATTTTAAACAACCACCCGATTTATTTTAGTCATTCAAATATAATAACCAAGAATCTAAAGATCACCAAATAATCCAAATACACGCAAGCTGTTTCTTTTTTGCTCTTTTTTTTTGTTACTATTTAGTTGCAAAGTTTCAGTTAAAATGTATCTTTTAGAAGTCTTGTTGAAGTTTTACTGTAGATTCTTTTTAATTCCAGGCAGTCTCCTCCCTCTTCCAGATCCTTCCCTTATTCTTTTTCTCTCCCTTCCTGCTTATGAAAAAGAAAAAATTTAATGTCCAGAAATCTTTATTATCCCTTTGGCATTTTGTTTTATTTTCAGCTTAATTGCCTATTGATGTCAAAGCGGATTTTTCCGATTTCTTATTTAAGTCTCTTAGTTGTCAGTATAGGGAAGGAGAGAGAAGGGGGAAAAAAGCCAAAATTTTCCCTTTTCACTTTCCTTTGCTGCTTCCGACTCTTCTTTGGGAGCGATGTTATTTTTTGTAAGTTTAAATTCCAGGGTACCTTAGTTGTTGCTTTTACAATTTAACCCGGTCAGCCAAAACTTTCACTTCTTATCTTCCTCCTGCGCATTCTTTTCCGGTCGAGTTCTCCTTTGTGGTGGCCATTTCTGACCACCGCTGCAACCGCCTTCGGGAAAGGAAGTAATGGCCAGCTGAGGAGGAGAGATGCAGCTCTCCTCAACCCTGCTGGCGGTCTCCCCACTCTTCAACACCTCTACGGGGTGGCTTAGCCCTGAAACCAGCCGGCTCAGGGCGCTCCAGCGGTGAGCCCAGACAGAAACTGCGCACGATCGCGGATTTCTGTCTGTCGCCGAAGCCCTTCAAACCGGAAGTCAAGTGCAGCTGCTTTTCAAAGGAAGGGCGAACAGTACAGGTGATCCTCGACTTACGACCGCAGTTGATCCCCAAATTTGTTGCCAAGCGAGACAATTGTTAAGTGAATCACTGCTGTTATGTTAGTAGCCATAGCACTTAGACTTATATACAGCTTCACGCAGAGAGCACCAAGAAAACGGCACAAATAAGAGTAAAAAATTCTTCTTGACTGAGATAAAGAGAAATGGTTCTTGGAAGACCCCGCTGGCCATCACCAATTTTAGTAGCAATAGCAATTGCACTTAGACTTATATACCACTTTATAGTGATTTACAGCCCTCTCTAAGTGGTTTTACAGTGTCAGCCTCTTGCCCCCAACCATCTGGGTCCTCATTTTACCGACCTCAGAAGGATGGAAGGCTGAGTCAACTTTGAGCCTGGTGGGATTTGAACTGCCCAACTGCAGGCAGCCAGCTGTCAGCAGAAGTAACCTGCAGTACTACATTCTAACCACTGCGCCACCACGGCTCATGGCTGATAGTAACATGGTTGTGAAGTGAATCTGGCTTCCCCATTGACTTTGTTTGTCAGAAGGTCGCCAAAAGTGATCACATTACCTCAGGACACCACAACTGTCATAAATGAGTCAGTTGCCAAACCTGTGAATTTTGATCATGTGACCATGGGGAGGCTACCACAGTTGTAAGTGTAAAAGCAGTCATAAATCACTTCAGTACCATTGTAATTTTGAATGGTCAGTAAATAATCAAGGACTACCTGTATTAGGAGCCATCACTATTCCTGGTTGTCCCAAAGGTGCTTTTTAAAAAGGCAACTGGACATTCTGGTTTTTCTTTGAAGACATTTCGCTTCTCATCCAAGAAGCTTCTTTAGCTCTGAGCACTGAGATGAAGAAGCTTCTTGGATGAGAAGTGAAACGTCTTTGAAGAAAAAAACAGAAAGTCCAGTTGCCTCTTGAAAAAGCACCTTTGGGACAACGCTGACCTAGAGGACTGAGAATCTCCATGGACAATTCCTGGTTGTTTCTCTCATATCCTTTGCAGAGCTGTGAGATGCAACTTAGTACCTGTTTGCAACTTCTTTCCTGGGGTCTAGCAGTTTCCTTCTTTAGCTCCTATATAATCCTAGGAAGGTTCAGCTGCTTTTTAAGGAGAGGGAGGCAAGTGTTAAATTGACAGCCCTGTCTGTCTTGAAACATATTTTTGCATTTCAAAGAGCGGTCTTCAAACTTGACAGCTTTAAGACTTGTGGACTTCAACTCCCAGAATTCCTCCTCCAGTCATGTTAGCTCAGGAATTCTGGGAGTTGAAGTCCACAAGTCTTAAAGCTGTCAAGTTTGAAGACCCTTGAGCTACATTGTCCTTACACGTAGTAGTCTTCGTTGATTGGATATTTGCTCTTCTGTTTATTGAAAGGGGCAAGACTAGAAAACTTTAAAAAGTTTTTTTTTTTCTCGCCCTGCTATGGTCAAATCTTCCTTTGGTCTTGCTATTTGCAGTATCAGAGGAGAATGTCTCCACCTGCTGGTTCTCACTGCCTTAAAGGCTGATTTTTAGAGATTGCTATGTATTTGCATTGATGGAAAGGAGAAGCAGCATATTAGAAATATATTCTTTTGATTTTGATGGCTTGACGGAGTGATTAGCTACTACAGCTTGGATCCAAAAACCTGGTTCTCAGAAAGCTGATCATTAAATGAAATTCAACCAAAGGAATTGAAGACTGTACACATCATGGCAACTGGCACAGATGGTTCTTGTCATTATAATTTATAGGCATGAAACTGACTGGCACAAAGTTACTTGAGTTGTGTCTTCATATCCATTTCTTTAATGCATTTTGCAACTGCAGCATTTGTTCCCTGGTGAAGGCAAGGCAGCAGAAATTACCCATTATCCTTAGCAAGGTTATAAACCTTCAATTTGATTACCATCTTCATCTTCTTATTAAGACTTGGAGGTTATTTATTTTTTATATGTCAGATAGGACCTATACTTACAATGATATTATGTTTTCTCTAAAACAGGCATCTCCAAATATGGCAACTTCAAGACTTGTGGATTTTATGCTGGCTGAAATTCTTGGAGTTGAAGTCCACCAGTCTTAAGAGTTGCCATGTTAGGAGACCCCTATTCTAAATCCAAAGAGTTTTACTGAGTCCCGAAAGTAAGGTTAGATATAGCAAATGATGCAATAACTCTAGCATACTTACACCATTGAAATATGGCGAGAATCACAGAAATGGTAAAACAGGGATAAGATTTATTTGTTACATTTCCAGTTCAACCTTTTTATATATATAATTTTCATTGAATCTTTGAGCTAATACAATAACACAATTATCAACGAAAACTAAAGTAAATAAATAAATTGTATTGTATTAAAATAAATAATACAATTATCAACAAAAACTAAAGTAAAACATTTCATTTGAACTATTATTAAATGAATTATGCACCAAAAGATAATAATACAAAAGACCCATAGGTCAATTACAATGTTTTAATAACTTTTTAAAGAGAAAAATTACTGTATGCAGAAATGCTCAAATTGCCTATGTCAGATGATTAAAGAAGTGTTTAAAAAAAATGACAAACAAAATGAGCATTTAATGTGATTTATGTAATGGATTATTTATGGGTCTTGACTTTGGGTGCATCTTGTATACGTATGTATGTGTCTGTGTGTACATACATGCATATATATTTTTAGAACAGTAAAAGTTTTTTTCTATCGAACAACTGATGGAAAAAAACCATTCATTATTTGGACTGCCATTCCCCCCCCACCAACACATGTGTTGGCTTCCTTCTCAGCACATACATTTTTAAAAATCTGTGGAGTGGGTTCTTTTGCGGTTGTTGGAAAATATTCAGGAAAAGGTGGAATATGTCCAAGATAGCAGGTGTAATCTCCAGACCAGTGCAACAAGCTCTTTAAAGCAGGAGATAAAGGAGAAAGACTTGGACATAAGATCCACAGGTATCTGCTGGCAGCCTTTGTGATCAAATGCTAGACTATACAAGACCAGGAAATGGACCATATGTTTTGGCTTTCTAATATATGTGGTTGCTAGGAGTAAAATATAACGATGTTTTATAATTAGTTTTCATGATATGAGACCTCAGTATTAATAATAGTCATTAGAGTACAGGTAGGTGGTGTGTGGTTCTATTTCAAGGTAATGCTGGGTTTTATCATAGCATTTACTCTGAAGAATATGAGAAGGAACCACACAGTTGCATAACCATCTTCCGGCTTTTTAACCAGAATCAGAACTTTTCTTTGATATCTTGTGTTATCTCAGTTATCATTTTTGTAGCTCCAATGAGCCTGGGACAGACCACTGAGTCAACCAGACCGCAGAGGGGCCTCTGAAGAGTGCGGCTGCTTCAGGCCATCTGGGAAAGGGGTTGACTTTGTTCTTGATTTGCCTTTCACAGCTGATCAAGCCATTACACACTCTGAGAAGCGGAAACACGAAATCAGCCGGCAAGTCGCCGTGCAAAGGAAGGAAAAGGACTTCCAGGGAATGTTAGAATATTGCGAAGAGGATGAATCTTCACTCCTAAAAAATCTCATTACAGGTAAAATGATTTTGTTTAGCGTTTCCATCTAGCTCTTAATATTCTTAATAAATGGGCTTTGTAATAGTTTGTAATAATCTTAATAAATGGGCTTTGTAATAGTTTGCTGCCAAAGTAAGAACGAATCTATTCATCAGAGCAGAGGTCTCCAAACTTGGCAACTTTAAGACTTGTGGGCTTCAACTCATAGCTGGCTGAGGAATTCTGGGAGTTGAAGTCCACAAGTCTTAAAGTTGCCAAGTTTGGGGACCCCTGCATCAGAGTCATAGGATTGTAGAGTTGGAAGAGGGGATTTACCTATTATAAGTAGTCAAGTAATCTCCTTCCTGTTCATTGGGAAGTCCAAATTTTAAAAGGGCTGTCTATTTTCTCTTAAATGTGTCTGGTGATAGGGAACACAGCACTTCCCCTACCATTGTTATTCTTGTAAAAGGGGAAAGTCTTTATAACATTGAGAAGAATCATAAATGTCATTTTGAAAGGTTGAAGAACTTGATTTACACATTGAACAATTTATCATCAAGCATTATTCATTTTCGTTTTCTTTCTTGGCTTGGCATGGTTCTACTCCAAAATATATAATGGGAATAAAGGGATTGTTAAAAATAGGACAGAGGTTTAAATATATTTTATGCTGGAGAAATGAGATCAGTTAATAAAAATAATTCGGTGACTAATTTTGATTTAGGTAAGTGTCCAGGGTCCATCGGTATAGAATTTATACTTTAAATTGCTAAGGACTCCTGTTGTTCAAAGGTTTTCTTTCCTGCCCACAGATCTGAAGCCCCAAACAGTATCTGCCACTGTGCCCTGCTTGCCTGCCTACATCCTATTTATGTGCATCAGACATGCTGATTACATTAATGATGATCAAAAAGTGCATTCGTTGCTTACCTCCACTATTAACAGTGTTAAAAAAGTATTAAAGGTAAAAATAAGTTTCCTTTTTCACTGGTAGACTTTGGAATGTTTATTGCATGATATATATTCCCTTGAGTATATAAAGGGACGCAGTGGCTCAGTGGCTAAGACGCTGAGCTTGTCGATCAAAAAGGTCAGCGGTTCAAATCCCTAGTACCGCGTAACGGAGTGAGCTCTTGTTCCTTGTCTCAGCTTTTGCCAACCTAGCAGTTCGAAAGCATGTAAAAAATGCAAGTAGAAAAATAGGGACCCCTTTGGTGGGAAGGTAACAGCGTTCCGTGCACCTTTGGCATTTAGTCATGCCGGCCACATGACCACAGAGACGTCTTTAGACAGTACTGGCTGTTCGGGTTTGTAACGGAGATGAGCACCGATCCCTAGAGCTGGAAAGGACTAGCCTGTATGTGCAAGGGGAACCTTTGACCTTTACACCTTTGAGATGACTCAAAGGTGTCAGAGTTTGCACAGTGTGACTGTGAGATCAACAACATCAAAGAGAGAGAGAGAGAGAGAGAGAGAGATACCCTGACACAAGGTATCTACGGGGACAAACATGTTTTATGTAGGAGATAAAGGACGAAGTAGAAAGTAGAGTTTATTTGTAAACTGAGATTTTATGGGCAATGGATGGAAATTAATTAAGAGAGAAGCAATCTAGAATTAACGATAAATTTCCTGACAGTTGGAACAGTTAACCAGTGGAACGGCTGGCCTCCAGAAGTTGTGGGTGCTCAATCATTGGAGGGTTTTAGGAGGACATTGGACACCCATTTGTCTCTAATGGAATAGGGTCTCCTGCTTGAGCAGGGGGTTGGACTAGAAGACCTCCAAGGTCCCTTCCAACTCTATATGTTCTGTTAAAGGAAGCAAATTAGAAGCATCTCTATGGGTCTTTATGGACCATTACTACATCTGCTCCTCTCTCCTTAGGGCCTTCCTTTAGACTCCCTGATCTATCTTTTCTTCCAGGCAAACCCCTGGAAATCCAGCACTCCTTTTCCAACACAAGACTTGGAAATAATAGGTTAATATTTCAAGCGAAGACCTCCTAAGGGAAAGGATTCTTACTTATTAATTTATCTAATGACAACCCCTTGTAGGCCACCTTCTTGAGAGGCTCTCGAACAGGACGCTGTGTTTCTAGTTGCTGATCCTTTTTATGGCATAACTGACCAAAGGAAAAGATTCACCACTGAGCCGTGGTGGCGCAGTGGTTAGAATGCAGTACTGCAGGCTACTTCTGCTGACTGCAAGTTGGCAGACCAAATCTCACCAGGCTCAAGGTTGACTCAGCCTCCCATCCTTCAAGGTCAAAATGAGGACCCAGATTGTTGGGGGCAATAGGCTGACTCTGTAAACCACTTAGAGTGGGTTGGAAAAGTGCTGTGAAGCGGTATATAAGTCTAAGTGCTATTGCTATTGCTATTCATGGTATTTTTTGGCCTTCTCCATAGAAATATAACGAGGATTTTGAGATGACGTCGTTCTGGCTGTCCAACATGTGTCGCCTTCTACATTGTCTGAAGCAATACAGCGGAGATACGGTGAGAGAATGATTGTATCAGGGACGAGAGCCTTGTTGCTAAAAAAAAACTCTCTTTGATTCTCCCTGATGGATGGTCATACAGTACAGATAGTCCATGACTTATGACCATTCAATTTGACCATCTTTTGAAGTCCTAACAATAATGAAAAAAGGGATTTATTTATTTATCACACTGATGTTCTGACCTAGGCTTCCCAAAAGCATGAAGCAGACTCCTTGTTCCGATAAAACCCCTTTTATTTAGGTTAAAGGGAATTCCTCTCCAGCAAAGTCCCGGCAAACAGTCTTTCATGAGATTACACAACTACAGACCTTTATCAGGCTCGGAGAGTTGCCAGGCTGATATCCTCCAAACACCACACTGTAGCAGACATTACTTGGCAAGAAGTCAGGAACAGATCTTCACCCTAATGAATTGAACTAATTGTCTCCGCCAAACACCACTCCCTTTTCACTCCTCTTTATTACCTATGGGAGGGGGCCATTCACCATCCACCTGAGCCTTTACTCCCAAGTCGACCCTTGTTCCTTAACTGTTCCCTTCTCCTAGCAGCTCTGCGCATGTGCACACTGGGAACAGGCTTCAGCTGTTCTTCTTTCCCAGTGATCTCCGACTTCAAAGACAGCTGATAACTGTTGGACGGCCCTGGCCCCATCTCTGCCTCTGACGCAGAGCATTCGTCGGAGCCTTCCCCAGACTCCAGGACTGGCCCATGTTCCTCCCCAACCTCCTCATTGTCCAAGTCTGACACCAGCTCTGCTGGCCGTTGGCGGGCCACAACAATTGATTTGCTGTGCATCTCATTTGAAAGCAACTCTGGGCAGCTTACAGTGTTAAATTACGGCCAGTCCTCGCACTGACAACTGTTGCAGTGGCCCTGTGGTCATGCGATCGCAATTTGGACACTTGGTAATTCGCATAATTTACAATGGTTGCCGCTTCCCAGGGCCAGGGGATTGCCATTTGCAACCTTCCCAGCTGGCCTCCAACAAGCCAAGTCAGTGGGGGAAGCTGGATTAACTGAACAGTTGTGCGATTCACTGAGTGACGTAGTAAAATTAGTGTCACAGACTTATCAACCACGTTGCTTAGGGACAGGAGCTCCAGTCCTAATTGTTGTCATAAGTCAAGGACTACCTGTATGCCTTGAGATTTCCAGACTACAGTGAATATATTCGCGTTGAGGTCAGTGGGAGATTTGCTAAGGACTTTCCTGCAATTTAGGTGTCTCATGTAAAGATTGTTGGCAAAGTACGGTGTAGTCCTCGACTTACGATCCCAATTGAGCCCCAAATTTCTGTTATTAAATGAGATATTTGTTAAGTGAGTTTTGCCTCGTTTTATGACCTCTCTTGCCCCGGTTGGTAAGTGAATCACTGCAGTTGATAAGTCAGTAACCCGCTTGTTAAGTCAATCTGGCTGTCAGGATTCTGGCAGTTACCCCAATTAAATCATGAGTCTCGAGCCAAACTTCCAAAACTTCAAAAGGATTTATTGGGAGTTAACATGTCCAGCAATGCCTGGGTGTAGCCTGGGTGTAGAAATAAAACATTTCTATGGTCTTTTTAGAGTTGCCACTGGCTTCCCCATTGACTTTACTTATGAGAAGGTCATAAAAGGTGATCACATGATCCCAGGGTACTGCAAACGTCATAAATATGAACCAGTTGCCAAGCATCTGAATTTTGATCACGTGACTATGGGGGTTGTAACTGTGAAAAGTGCAGGTCGTAACTGTGAAAAATGGTCATAAGTCACTTTTTTTCACTGCCATTGTAACTGCCATTAATGAACCGTTGTAAGTATACAATACCATTTCATACCAGGTCTTTGAGCCCTGATGGCGCAGTGGTAAGGAGACAATATTGCAGGTTAACTCTGCCCACATCCTGGAGTTCGATCCTGACAGGGTTTAAGGTTGACTCAGCCTCCCATCCTTCCGAGGTCGGTAAAATGGAGACCCAGATTGTTGGGGGCAATAGGCTGACTCTGTAAAATTGCTTAGAGGGGGCTGTAAGGACTCTGTGGCTATCTAAGTCCACGTCCTATTGCTGTCTCTTCAGGATGGAAGAGTTGACCAAGAGGAAATTAATTTGCTATTAGTATGTCTTTTTGCCTCTTATAAATTTTGGCTTGAAATTATAGCTACTATTCCAATTTGAGTATCTGCTGATGTTAATGAATTATAGATCGGACTATTGGGCTGATCATGTAACTAATTAAAAGAACAAGCAATACTTTTGTTCTATGAACTTTGCAGTTTTCTGGACACAAGCCTTTATTGAATTCACTTCTGAGTTAGCATTCACGCTCCTGCACCGTTGGTAGTAGACAAAATGCCTGATTCCACATTTTAACCTGATTTCATGAACTAACATCAAAATGAAAATTAGTCTAAAGCAAGAAGAGGCGATGAATCTTAAGTTTTCCTTTCCTGCCTCCTGATCTCTTTTCCACACTTTGTGGGTGGAAATATTTAATACAGCTGCAAACTTCAGTTCTTAACTTGGCAAATGTTCACTCTTTGTCACTTGGAGAGAAGTTCTTGGTAGCAGACCTATCCTATGGCAATCTGCCTATACAAGTAACTGGAATACAGGGAAGCCTGAAACAGCTCTTTAGGCCAGGGATGTCAATCTCAAGGCCCGCGGGCCAGATCCGGCCTACCGGGTGCTTAGATCTGGCCCGCAGGGCCGTCCTGGTAACAGTAAAGGACCGGCCGGTGGTGCCTCTGCCAGTGAAAATGCATCCTGGAGGGCTGAAGGAGGCTGTTGCAGCTGTAAACGGAGCTCGGGATGGGGGTACATGCAGTCCACCAGCGCTCCATTTTTGCTGGCAGAGGGCTGCAGGAGTTCGTCACAGCTGAAAACTGACGTCGAGCTGGCCATGCCCCTCCCCCCCCCCAGGCCACACACACACACGAGGTCAAACACAACTCTGACGCGGTCCTCAATGAAATCAAGTTTGATCCCCCTGCTATGGGCATCATAAGAATTATATTGCACCCTGTAGCCATCTTAAATGTTCACTTCCAAGATGGCTACAGGTTTTTTTTCCCTAAAATCTAGGCCAAAAGTTCCAGTTCTCCTCAGAATTTGCTCCACAAACTTTTGCTTTACCTACCAACCTTCCAATACTTGGAGCTTTTCTCTTCATAATTGTAATCCAACCTGCCCTTACATTGCTATTTTCTGTTGTTCTTCCTTTGCAGGGGTTTATGACCCAAAATACCCCCAAGCAGAATGAGCATTGCCTGAAGAACTTTGACCTCACCGAGTACCGTCAGGTCCTGAGTGATCTCTCCATCCAGATCTACCAGCAACTCATCAAAATTGCCGAAGGCGTCTTGCAGCCCATGATAGGTGAAAGGCATAATTAACTCAACTGAGTAGTACCATTGAGGATTATCTACATCGGGGGTGTCCAGCCTTGGCCACCTGTGGATTTCAAATTTCAGAATTGCTCAGCCAGGGTGGGAAATTGGAGAGGAGAATCCAAGAGCCACCGTGTCAGGGCTCCAGCATCCACCCCCATTCAAATCATGAGTGAAGGAAAATCAGGAAAACAAGATTTATTACCTGGGTGCAGCCATCTCTGAGACACATCATTCATTTCACCCTTGACCCTGGTCTTCCCCCCACCCCCCTGGATGTATATTCTCCAATGGGACACATCCATAGCCAAGAATCATTAATCATGCTCTCCAGTAATAATCTTGTGTGCCAGAAGCTTCGGCCGCCTAGCAATTTTCTACGAAGCATTTAAGGAGTGCACTACTTCCCCCATTCCCTTTCTGCTGGCAACTCTAAAAGACCAGAGAAATCTTTTTGAGTTGACACACCGATTGTAAACAATTATGGGAAAATTAGAATTTGCGCAGCTTATGTTGTTCCCTGTTTGAGTATTTCTTTTCTTTCTTTCCCTTCTCAGTGACTGCGGTATTGGAAAATGAAAGCATCCAAGGCCTGTCAGGTATCAAGCCAATGGGCTATCGCAAACGAAGCTCCAGCAGAGGGGACAGCGAAAACACCTACAGTTTGGAAGCAATCATCCGCCAACTAAACACGTTTCTGAGCATCATGTACGACCAGGGCCTTGACCCAGAGATCATCCAACAGGCCATTAAGCAGCTCTTCTATATGATCAATGCTGTGGCCTTGAACAACCTCCTGCTGAGGAAGGATGTATGTTCTTGGAGCACTGGCATGCAGATGAGGTAAGATTCAGGCTGAAAGGTAGATGGGTGACGCATTCAAGGCTGAGTGTTTTGTTGGAGGAGGAAGTCCTACTTCCTGTAGATCTGTGTCTCAACCTTGGCAACTTTAAGACTTGTGGACTTCACTTCATGCTGGCTGGGGAATTCTGGGAGTTGAAGTCCATATGTCTTAAAAGTTGCAGAAGTTGAGACATACTGCTATAGATGGATGAAAGTAACCCTGGACACGCATGGAATAATGATACTCCCTCTTCATGCTTCAGAACCTTTGGCTATTCAGCCATTGCAAGCTAAAGGACTGTGCCCAAAAACAAAGGAAGGGAAATGATAGATCATCCTGGTGTAAATCTGGTCCTCCTTCATTACAGTTGCTCTACCTGGGAGTGTCGTTGGCTTAGCAATAGTACTTAGACTTATATATCACTTCCCAGTGCTTTTACAGCCTTCTCTAAGCAGTTTACATAGTCAGCCTACTGCCCCCAATAATCTGGGTCCTCATTTTACCCACCTTGGAAGAATGGAAGGCTGAGTCAACCTTGAGCCTGATCAGATTCGAACTGCCAAATTGCAGACAGTCGGCAGTCAGCAGAAGTAGCCTGCAGTACTGCACTCTAACCACTGCGCCACAACATTTGAAGTTGAAAGCAGGCTGCAATGTGACATATTTTGGGAAAATGGCCTCTAAGGTTTGCTTGCCACACCTTCCTGGGTACTGCATTCATAGGTTGATGGTAACACAAAGTGCTGCTTTGTGTCAGAGTATTTTTCCAGTTTGGTTTAGTGGTTAAGGCATCAGGTTAGAAACTAGCGAGTGAGTTCCAGTCCTGCTTTAGGCACAAAAGCAGGATGGGTGACTTTGGACCAATGACCAGGAGACGGTAAGTTTTAGTCCTGCCTTAGGCATGCAAGCTGGCTGGGTAATTTTGGGCCAATCATCAAGAGACAGTAAGTTCTAGTCCCACCTTAGGCACAAAAGCTGGCTGGGTAACTTTGGGCCAATCACCAAATAAGTTTTAATTCTGACCTAGGCATAAAAGGCAGCTGGGTGACTATGGGCCAGTCACGCTCTTTCAGGCAGCAAGCTCAGGTGGCAAGCCAGTCAGTCAATTCCTGTTGAAACCAATGGATCTACACTCAGTTGACCCAAACAAAAGGAAACTGTAAACATGCAAGGGAAAAATTCCATCAATCTTGTTAATTCCACTCAGTGGCTGCTCTCAAGGAGCTTGGAGATACATCCTTTACTAACCGATCCAGGCACAGGCTGGTTGAGATCACTTCCAACCTTTCAGCAGGATTCAGAAGCATCTTGCCAATTCTTCTCATAACTTGTGTCTTCATTGTGTTGGGTTCCAGGTTTAACATCAGCCAACTGGAGGAATGGCTGAGAGGGAAGAACCTGCATCCGAGTGGGGCTGCCAAAACCCTGGAACCACTGATCCAGGCAGCACAACTCCTGCAGCTGAAAAAGAAAACACCTGAAGATGCTGAGGCCATCTGTTCCTTATGCACATCCCTCACTACCCAGCAGGTACACATTATTTACGAATTCAGAACAACTGATAAAAAGGTTGAACATGAGAATTTACCCATTTCTTCTTCAAATTCTGTTCATTCAGTGTAGAAGGTTGCAAGGGAGCTTCAAGTCAGAGTAAGGATTTGAACTTAGGCATCCTTGCTTTGGGTCAAATTATAATGGTGTAGTGCTGATAATTTGCAAATAATTCCCCAAAACCTTTTTTGCTTTGGCCAAATCCAGCATCTGACTGATGAAGATTATTTTAAGTAACTAAGGGAACTTGAAAATGTTAATGGATTATTGTTTAGCCCAGAGGTCCCCAAACTTGACAGCTTTAAGACTTGTGGACTTCAGCTCCCAGAATTCTAGGAGTTGAAGTCCACAAGTCTTAAAGTTGCCAAGTTTGGAGACCTCTGGTTTAGAGTATTAGGAGAACAGGACAGAAGTAAATATATATACACAATCTGCAAAATTACATACAAAACTTCTACAGGTGTACGGCAGCAGCTTCATAAGTGGATGTCCAATTCAGAGGTGATCACCTGTGGATGTTGCTTCGTGCAGGTCTTCTAGGGAACCAGAGAGCACACGTTGTGGTCAATCTTGCACAATATGTACAATTGTGGATAAAGGGGGCACACATTCAGGCGCACCAGTTCTCTTGAAGGCCTGCTTGCAGATGGGATCAAGCCTGTCTTGCTTTCTAAGCTGAAATTCCACCCATTTCCTACGCTTGTTCTGTTGAGGACCTGTGATGTCGTAGAGTGTGTTGCATCTCCTCTATAACCCTCATTTGATCTTTGCTCCTTAGATTGTAAAAATACTAAATCTTTACACTCCTGTGAACGAGTTTGAAGAGCGAGTGACAGTAAGCTTCATAAGAAACATACAGGTAAGCTATATTCTAAATATAGGCAATTTTACATCTGTCACACAATTAAAAGGTTGTGTCTAGTTTTTATCATGCATCTTTGGAGGTCTGGCTATTGAAATTTCAGAACTGGGTCATTACTCCTAGGGAGGTCTACCATAACTCTGAACATCTAAGTGACCGGTCATAAGTTGAAGACTATCTGTAAACAATCAAGCAAACCTAATTCCCCTACGCAGGGATATTGTCTAGCCTGTTGATGAAATGTCTGTAGGAAAACGACCAGGGTTAGTGATCATCAGGAACCCAACAGTTAAATCTTAAAACCATACATTTTAGCATCTTTCTCATATCGAGATTGTATCTGCTCTTGTGGCCACCATGCTCTATCCATCCCTTGACTGCTCAATTCTTGCTTAGTTTTTAATTCCCCCTTTTCATTCAAAATATCACTGTATCTTATAATTTGTTCCATATTGATAACGTTAGGATGTGTCAGTGCTTCCATTGTGGAAAGCCAGACTGGTATTTTCAAATAGTGTTGTTCTTTAATTTTTACCCATATGATAGCAGTGCATTTCTAATATAATGTCTTTGAAAATAGCTAGTATCTTAGCTAATAGTTAATAGCTAATAGTTAACATTGAAAATGTTAATGGATTGTTATTTAGCGCAGGGGTCCCCAAACTTGGCAACTTTAAGACTTGTGGACTTCAACTCCCAGAATTCTGGGAGTTGAAGTCCACAAGTCTTAAAGTTGCCAAGTTTGGAGACCTCTGGTTTAGTGTATTAGGAGAACAGGACAGAAGTAAATATATACTAGCTAATAGTATCTTATTTTTCCCATACCATAAGAAAGCATGCCAACCTAACTGAAGGTCATATCCCTCTACGGTTAATAGTCTTTTATGCCTCAAATTAATCCATTCTTTCACCTATGTAAAAGTACCGAGGCCTGATAATACAATTCCCAATCTGGCAACGCAAAGCTTTTCCTTTTTGGGAATCCTGCAACATTTTCAGGCTTCTTCTTGCTTTTTTCCCTAACCAAATATATCATAGTATTATTTTATCTAGTTCTTCAAAATATTCCCCCCCCCTCCAGCTTTATTGGAATTTTTTGAAATAAGTATAATAGTCTTGGTAAAATATTCATTTTTATAGTAGCTATTCTTCCCATCAATGACAGAAACCCAACAATTAAATCTTGAGCTGGCTGTAGCCTCTACCATTGAAAAGCAAACAAGTATTCTCCCATTAGCCTCTCATCTATGTGTCTTCTCATAAGTAGGAATACGGGTAGTCCTCGACATACAACGGTTCGCTTAATGACCATTCAAAGTTACAACAGCACTGAAAAAAGTGATGTATGACCATTTTTCACACTTATGACCATTGTAGCATCCCTATAGTCACATGATCAAAATTAAGACACTTGGCAACTGACTCTCATTTATGATCGTTGCAGTGTCCCAGGGTCATGTGGGATCTGACTTGAGGTGCTCACATTGCAGCCCTGGTCAAAAGGGCCCAGCAGAGATTATACGACCAATTGCACAGTGGCAGATAGGACAGCACTCCAGAGGGTTAATGTCATTGCATAAAACTTCATTGGTTGCCCTCTCCCCTCTTTGGAAGAGCTTTATAGCTCCCGCTGCCTTAAGAAAGTTCAAAACATTCTCAAAGATCTATCTCATCCTGGGCACCCTTTTTTTTTAACTATTACCATCTGGCAGACGGTACAGGACAATAAAAACAAGGACAAATAGGCTGAAAAACAGCTTCTATCCCAGGGCAGTAGCTCTGTTGAATTCTGCTGTATAGTGCAGTGTTGATGTAGTGTTGGTGGTTTTCGGTTCAATGTGTGGAGGGTGAAGGATGTGTGTTTGTGTTTATTTTCATGGTCATGATGTACACTGAGGATGGTGTTGTACGAGGTGCAATGACAATAAAGTAAACTAAACTAAATGTGATCCCCTTTTTGTGACGTTCTGACAAGTAAAGTCAATGGGGAAACCAGGTTCACTTAACAACCGTGTTACCAATTTAACCACTGCAGTGATCTACTTAACAAATGGGGCAAGAAAAGTTGTAAAAGGGGGCAAAACTCACTTAACAAATTTCTCACTTAGCAACATAAATGTTGGGCACAATTGTGGTCGTAAGGTGAGGACTACCTGTACATAAACTACCTTTAAGTCAATTAGTTGACCCAGGGAGTCTTAGTATTTTCTATTTCAAATGGCAGCAATAGCCTGTTTGGAGATGACTTTTTTTCTGATTTGATATCTGAGACCCATTTTGGAGGTGCTAAGAAATGGACTTGCAGTTTTGTTCACATGAGGCCTGCACCTGAGCTACAGGTTAATTTGTTCACATGAGGGCCTGCA